AGAGCTTGATGACTAATTGGTTGTGGGTGGTTAAGAAGGAAGGAAGAATTGAAGATGACTGAGATTTCTAGTTTGGAAAGCTGAATAATTGGTGATGTCATTAACTGAAATAGTAATGGAAGGAAATCTATGTGAGGCCTACTAAATGCTTTGTTTAATCCTAAACAAAGCCAAAAAGAGTTAAAATGCCCATTTTACAGATGAGAATGTCAAGGTACAGTAAAGTTAATAACTTGTCTAAGGTCACACAGATAGTAAATTAAAAAGTTGGATTGAAATGGATCTTATTCCAAAGCTCATATATTTCCATTCTTTTGTAGTTTTCTACATAGATAATCATTTTGGTTTGGCAAACATAGGATTAAAGTTCTGGGCAAGGACAATGGTAGAAACACGGGCTTCCCAGCCTTAGGAGAGTGATTGAAGCCTCACACTACTGGAATAAGGACTACCGCATCACTGTCCAGTATAGTTTCTGCTATAATTAAAAGGTTTTCTCCATGCATTGTCAATATAGTAGCAATTAGGTCATGTGGCTATTGTGCACTTGAAATGTAGCTAGTAGGACAGGGGAGCTGAAATTTTAAATCTAATTTTAATTAGTTTAAAAGTAGGTAACCAACTGTAGTTGGTGATGCCCATTTTGGACAGTTTGGAACTAAAGGACCAGCCAGGCATGGAGAGGGGTCTTTCAGAGGGGGACTTTGCTGATATATCCCTTTTGCCCTCATAATCACTGGGCATTTGATCACCTGCTTTATATCTTTGGTTAAGATTATTTGTAAATTTGGAGGCCACCAAATATGTAAATAGGGGGTTCTTTTCTAGTGTGGCATTATTTTTATCAAGTCTTGTCTTTGGAAGGAGAGTAAATACAGCTTTCCACTTCTTTTTTTCTAAGGCAAAAATCACAATAATTTTCTCTGTACTTACACTCTCCGTGGTGAATGTTATTTAAATCTCCAGGCAAACTGCCTAGGTTCAAATCTCAGCTCTGCTGCTGATTGTACTGTGCTTTAAGTTAGTTACTGCACATTCTTAAACTTCACTTTCATTACCTGTGAAATGGAGATAACAATAGTACCTTACTTATACCTTAGTTGTGAGGAAACAGACAGTCTCTAACACATGGTAAGAATCCAGAAAAGGTTATTCTCGAACTCATAAGTTGTTGTGATGAGTTTGTACTTTGCACCTCTGTATTTTGACATTTACTTGACTCTATTTTTGCTTAAGTGGAAGGTGTTCTCCCAGATTTCTAAATGTCAGAACATTCTCCAAAGAAGTACACATTCTCAAGATAAAAAGGTAGATAGGGCTCTGGAAAGTGATCTTAGTGCAAGAAAGAATTTTGCAGGTATTTGTGTACTTCACCTTGATTTTGATTTTGTTAAGTTATTTTAAATCAGCACAGAGGCAATTTCACAACCTTGATATTTTATTATGATCAATAAAATTTTCTTGGTTTAACCTCATACAGTGACATACCACATGACCAGGCGAAAATACCAGAGATTCTACATGTTGATACAAAAGATTTCTTGATGTCTGGAAGTTCTGAAGCGTTTCATACCTCTTTAATGGAAGCATTCAATGCCTGCTCTCTGGTTATCTTAGAAGTGGTTGGATTGGTTGTACAGTGATTGGATGGATCAAGGACTATTTAAAGACTAATGACCTCAGATGTAAGGACAAGTAATAGGATCCCCATTGTTGCCACTGATTTTGTACCTTGTAACCTTTGGATGGAAAAAAATACCCTTGTAGCATAGTCTTGCATTCTGTGTGTACAGATATATATATTTTTTCCATTGGAGAGTTAAGAAATTTGTGTTCAAGTGCCAATTCGGCAGTTGACTAGGTCTATTAAGTAAGGAAAAGTCATTTTCTCCTTTGGGCTAAAGAGAGGCAGACATCCGGTGTAAAATCAGAGTAGATCCAGATTTGATTCTCGAATGATTTAAATATCCTTCCAACTAAAATTCTTTGAATCTTCTTTTCTTTTACCATTGAGCCTTAAAGGACTTACAGAGGTAGTATTTTTTTTTTGTTTTTTGTTTTTTTTTGCATCTACACAAGAGCTGCTGTAAACACGCTCTTGGAATATTCTTGGAATATTTCATTTCCTTGGAAAACAATTCATGAGTGAGTCAGCATGAAGGGGAAAAAAGCCCACTCACAATGGACATCAAAATTGCATGAGATGGTTGGTGAAACGAGAAATGATTTTCTTTGTAAACTGATGAGGCAAAGAGAAACCACTTACTTATTTATAAAATGAGTGAGCGTGGAAGGTTTTATGTGGCAGAGCTTACGTGCTATAACATATTTAGCAAGACGGAGAAGGTATCAGGGAGTTCTCTCCCTGCTGCCTTAAAAGTGCTATTAATATAAACGTTCTTTCAGTGAGGAAGAAAGAAATGCGTGTAAGGAGGAGGCTGAAGGAAGGAAGCAAGACTCAAAGCTTCCCCTGCCTCCTTCCTCACCCCCACCCCGGCCGCCCTCTCGGGAAATTCATAATTAAGGGAATTTCCTCCTGCAGCCGGGAACGCTCGGTGCCCGTTTCCACGTCACTATTAGGGCAGCCAGGGATTTTGCTTTTCCCAGCGGTGACTTCCCGACTCCGCCTGCGGTTCCCCCAGGGGGCGGCCGAACGTCGCCGCCCGCCCCGGGACCTCGAGGGGCAGCGAGCAGCCCCTGCACCCGGCAAGGGGCGCGGCGGCCGCCGGCGGGCGCAGAAACGTTTCCTGGGTGAGCGCGGCGCCGGCCCCTCTTCCGGAAGGCTGATTGCATCAGGTGTGGCGCTAGGCGCCTCCTCGGCCCAACCTGGCGGCCACTGCGCCTGCGCGCGTCGCCCCGCCCCGCCGCCGCGCACTCCACCGCGGGTTTTCCTCCCGGTCTCGAGGAGACGAGCTGGGGCGGGGGAGGTTGTGGTTTACCACCTCGGGACCCCAAAGAGAGGGGGCAGACGGGAGCACTCCTGGGGACCCACTGAGGTCTGAGGGAATAGAGAGCCACGGACTGACGGCTGGCCTGCGAGGCCGGGTACCCGCGCCGCGTCCGCTGCTGACGGGCGGGTGGTCCTGGGCAAATTATCTCTCCTCTCTGGGCCTGAAGCACGGAGACTGAAACTCGGCTTTCCAGTTCCAAGTCCGCTTTTTTCCCAAAGTGGGCTAAACTACCTTCGCCCACTGTTTATGGCCCGCAGGCGCGATGGATCTTGGCGTGCAGAAACTCAGCTCCAAGGAACACTTTCATGCATCTTCAAGAATTTCTCAGTGGCATTATTTTATGTTGCTGGAGTAACACGAATGCTTGCTTCCAGATGGGTCTGAGGGATATTGTTCGTGGGAAATTGTACCATGCAAAAGGCAGGAATCCCTTCCCACAAGGCAGTTACCCACCCAGTCATTCCTTCCAGCCCCACCCTGTCTGCCTCAGGCTCCCATATACTGTTTTAGTACCTTGTGCATTTTTCTTCGAGCACATTTCATGTTTGGAAGGACATTTTAAGTGGCTATTTGAGGGATATGTCTGCCTTGTACAACATTTAGGTCTGTGAAAGCAGGGGTCAGAACTTTTTTCTTTTTACTTTTTTTTTTAAAGATTTATTTATTCATACAGAACTGGGGTACAGGACAGAGATGCGGAGGGTGAGAGGATTCACCAGAGACAGAGTGGGGAGCAGAACAGGCAGATCACAGAAGTACACTGCTGAGGGGAGCAGTGGGCGGGTCAGGAGAGGTCTGCCACGCCATGTGGATCTCCTAGGCAGGCAGGGATCGAACTCATGGGGAAGTGGCTTACGCTTCTTAGTGCAGTGCTTTAGCCCCCTGCGCCACCAGGGAGGGACCACTTTTTTCTTTTTTTAATTCACTTACTACAAGATCTTGTGGGTATTCAATAAATTCATGCTATATGAAGAAATAAAGTAATCCATATCCACCCTACAGAGTCCTCCCATAAATAAGGATGGATTTTGTGTGTGTGCATTTGTTATTTGAGGAAAGAGTGCGTTCTGGGAGTTTGGGATGAATGAGGAGGAGCCATTTACTTTGCATTTACTATTTTGAATTTCTTTTTAGCACAACCATCCTAAAAGTGATACTTGTGCATGTTATGGGGCAGTGATTCTCAAAACCAGAGAGGCAAAACCAGAATCACCTGGGAATTTGTTATATAGAACGATGCCCGACGCATTCATAAACTCTGGGAGTGGAAGCCAGCAATCTTTCTGCAAGCCCAACATGCGATTGTGACCAGGTTCAAGTTTGACACTCACCACACTAGTCAAGAGCAATCCTTAAAGATCCTTTAGGGATGTAATTCACAGCATCTGGGTAGAACACAGATTACCACTACTAAGTATGCATTCTCATCAGGACTTTGTTTGCTTACAATTTGAGTTATAGATAATATTCCTGGGGGTGAAAAAGGAAACCATGCTCTTCTCCATGCTCCTGGAGGTGTGTTTCTTCCCTAAGATGATCTTGCTGTAATTTTAGGATCCGTGTGTGTGTGTGTGTGTGTGTGTGTGAAGGAGGGCGCCTGGGGTTCGGGAAAAGGAAACTGAAGGAAAGACAAGGTTTCCCACCAGGCAAGTTGCAGCCGCGTGGGTGCAGGCAGCTCTCATCTGGGGACATTTTCCTATTATAAGGGAAAGAGGAAATGTGGGAGAAAAGACTGGCCAGGGATAACTTCATTTTGGTGCAGACAGACGCTAGGCCACAGGGAAGGGATTCTCAGGCTGCACTGCGACTCCGATCTATGCGTCCTTGGGGCTCCCGTTGGTGTACCCAGCCATGTCCCTAGTCCCGCGCATCCTCGCGCCCGCAGCCGGGGCCTGCAGGGGTCGCACTAGCTGCGCTGCTCGCCCCCCTCCTCCGGCCCCCGCCCTCGGCTCCGCCTTTCTCGCGTTCTGCCCCCGCCCGGTCGGGCCCCTCCAGCCTCTCCTCGCGCAGCCGCCGCCAAAGCCTGGAGAAGTGGAATTTCGCCGGCGCCGCTCCCAGCGCGGGACTCGCGGAGCCGCACTGGGCATGCTCAGTCGCCGGAGCAGTCCTGGTCTCAAGTAGGAAGCTCGTGCGCTGCACCCGCAGCTGATCCGGGCGCTCGGGAGAGGGCGAGACTGGAGCGGAGCTGCCGGGCGCCAGAGCCGAGGCGGAGCCGCGCGCACCACGGGTGAGCCCGCTTTCTTCCTTGCTTTTGCCCTGGACCTCCGGGCGGCCCGGGGGTGCTGGCTAAAGACCGGGCAGCGGCTGCGGCGTTCGGCGAGTGGCTGCGCGTAGCACCGGCGGCTGTTTCTCTGTTCCCGGCCCCGAGGGCTCCGCGGCCACTGCCGGCCGCCCAGCCGCAACCACAGCTGCGGCAGCTGCCGCCGCATCTGCAGCGGGAGCCCGCTGCGGAGTCCCGTGCGCCCTGCGCCCGCACCGCAGGGCGGGTGGCACAGCGACTGCGGACTCACTCCTAGACTTCCATCCCTCCTGCTTCCATGCGCCCTTTTTTTTTCCCCCCTCTCGACTGCCCGAGCATGGCACGACCTGGGGTGGAGGAGACTGGATTGGATGGGGTGCGCCCGGGTGGAGACTGCGGAGGGGAAAAGTGAGGGTGGGCGCTGGCGGGGAAGAGCGCACACCCCCTTGCCCTGGCACCAGCCTCTGCTGTGCGTCTGGGCTCTCCCTCCCGGGGAGGTGGCGCGCTTCTGCCAGGGAGTTGGAGATGAGGCTGGCATCTCGGGGGGTTCAGACACTAGCTGTTGCGAGATCAAAGGGGGGAAAAAGTTCATTTTCTCTCTCGGAGGCAGAGAGAGCGTTTTAACTAGAAAATGGCTGTACGAAGGGAACCCAATCCGGGAAGCCGGCCAGTGGGTCCTGAAATCCCCTCTTCTACCCGCCGGGCGGAATGGAGGGTAGAACGCTAGACCTGACATTAGTGCGGTAAAAACGTTGCTGGACCTGGGGAGAGACGTGGAGTCACAGAGAAACAATGAAAGGTGTTGTCGACATTGGTGAAGAGATCTGGAACCCAGGGGTCAGGGGCAAAAGGTCGCGAGAGCATGGGGCTTGAATGAAAAATAAATAAACAGACCAACAAAGTACGGAAGAATCAGACTTATGAGTTGTGGCTGTTAAGTAATCAAGTTATGCACAGGTTCAAGCCACGACAGTCACAAACGTTTTTGGTTGGGTTTAAGAGGTGGTGGTGGAGGCGGGGATGCAAAATTGAGGGGAGAATAAATAAGGTCAGTGTTTGAGGCTGGGACCAGACTGGCCTCTCAGAAATTCTCCAATCAGTTAGCTTTCTATTGCGCCTGATGACATAGGTGAAATACCTAAACGATTATCACAAAATGATACCAGCAGTGGTGTTTGATTTTCCAAGAAATAAGGAAACTTCGTCAAGTTGGCATTGGTGTGGCATTTGTTTTAATATTTCAGTTTTAAAAAAACAACTGTGGTGTCTTGATCTCTTGTTCTGGATTTGGGTATTCTGAGTTTCCCCCCTTGGGTTTATATTTCTTCCCGATTCTCAAATAGCCATGATAACTTAAGAGTAGCTGGCCTTTCAGGAACAGACAGACTCCTTGAAGGGTAATTTCTTTTAAGAACTTAGGTAGCAGCTTTGTTGTATTTTCATTTTGTTGCTTGAAAGCAATACTTGTTCAACAGTTGTTTATTGTAACGTGTAGAGTCCTAGAAATGGTACTGTTTTGAAAGAAATGACATTTGTCAAGATGGAACCTTCACACTGGGGGAAATGCTGAGTGAACACAGGTGGCGTGGAGTGCAGCGGGCTGGTCATCCGAAGGGGGAGGGCAACAGATGCAGAATTTCCCTTGCTGTCCTTTTGTGTCCATGCACTTAGTACTGTACCCTGAAAACTCAGTGTCTTCTTGGGCTGGAATGTACTAGGGATAGGCATAGAACCTTTTAGAAAGGGCTCTGAGGTAAGATACTGGTTTTGGAGAAGGTGTTTATGTCTTATGTCTTTATCTTCTCTTCCAAAAGATACTTTTAACTAAATGATTAAAGGCATCAGCAAGATCACCTTTCTGAAACTTCTGTTAAATGAGAGTGGAAAGGCTCCATGAGCCAACTGTAAAAAACCAGTGTTTTAAACTTAAGGAGTCATGTGAATGCCAACTGCACAATTATTTAGGAGACTACTGCTAAATATTGCAAGAATCCACTTATACAAGGATGAAATATCTTAAAACTGTTACTTTTTGTATCACATTTCATGTTTTGGTGGTGGTTTTCTTTTCCTGTCACCAATGAAACAACAATAAACATTGAATTCCTTTTTTTATGCGGGAATTAAATTAGTACTGAAAGTGTTACGGTAATATTAGAATAATGTTGACTATCCTGAGCTCTGGATATCTATATTTGTTTTTTAAATTGTCTGCCTCTATACCTTTTTCAGTTACACTTTTAACATAAAAAACATCCTGGTGACTATAACACCTTCAATTTCCCAGGGTATAGAGCAGATTTATAGAAGTATTGTAAGAGGGTATTAATAGTTAATGTGGCAATATTTACCTTCCTACCCTGGGTTTAGGGAACCAGCATTGTTTCAGTGCTTACTGCATACTAAGCTCTAACTTATACACATCAGTTTCTGTGTCAGTATCTTTGAAATAAATGTTCAGCTTTGCAAGTAAACCTCTCTGAGGAGGTCGACTCAGCAATAGGAGTTGAAAGTTTTAGCTCATGAGACTATCTTCAACTGATTTCATTATTATTCAATAAGCATTCTCTTGTAAAACATTTTTCATTTGTTGTTTGGAATTAGATTTGATTGGAACAGCATGTCTTCAAAATGATTTGAATGTTTTTAAGAAGCTTCCATCCATATTTGGAAACGGTTTTGTGTTCATTTACTTTCAACCATGTTGCACTACCAACAGATGAACTAAAAATGTAAGGAAGATAAACTCAAATTACCCACTATAATTTTAATGTTATTAGCCCGGATTCTGTTTGTTGATACTTGTTGATGGTGTTTTTCTCAGTTGAAATGGTTTGTCAGAGGGAGAGTGACAGACTCTCCATAATAAAGATTCTGGAGAGGTGTGGTGGTAAGACTTGCCTTCTGGGCCTGAGTTGTGTCAGCTGCTTTGATTTCCTGTATAGTCATATAGTCGGTTCACGTCTCTGGGCCTCAGTTTTCCTTCATGTGAAGTGTGGGAGGTGCAGTAGAATGTACCCTGTGTCTTAGATGTGTCTTAGCTCCTTTTGTCCCACTTGAGGGGGTGGGTTGCTGCCATTAGAGAATGGGGGGCTTTTTTTTTTTTTGGCATATTCCTACCTCCCTTTCAGTTTTTGTTTGTCAAACAATGGTTGTCATAAAATTAACTCCTTATGGCCTTGCCAAATCTAGATGGGCAATAAGGTAATTTTTTTTTATGCATACAAGAACTGGGGTATAGGCCAGAGGTGCAGGGGCGGGGGGGAAGATGATTCACCAAAGTTAGAGTGGGAAGTAGAACAGGCAGATGAACTGAAATATACTGCCTAGGGGAGCAGTGGGCAAGACAGGAGAGGTCTGCTGTGCTATGTGGGTCACCTCCATACCGGGAATTGAACTCATGCCACAGTGGCTGCTGATAGCTTCATATTGTTGCATTTTAATCCTTTGCGCCACCAGGAAGGGCCTGATAAGGTAATTCTTAAATTTAAGGAAAGCACATCAGATTATTTAAGATTGTTTATGATTCTCCTGAGGGGAGCTTCTGCTCTTGGTTGGGCAGATAATCCGGGGAAGAAGCCTCTTCCAGACCATAGAAGAGGGTGTCATAGGCCCACCCATGTGAAATCTTGGCAAGTCTTTTCCAGCTCCCCAACCTCTTTTAGCCCTTCGTTAAAAAGGCAGCCCTTAGTCGCTGGAGTAAGATTATCGCCACTTCTCGCTGTGCCATCCCTGCATTGGGCAGGGAGGTGGTGCCTGTGGTGGGCTGCTGTAGCAGTACCAGCAGGTGGCAGATGTCAGAATGCGCTGCCTACTTTTGACAAGATCATGAACTTTTTTAGGCAAGCTCTGATGATGGGACGAAGAGCAAAGGAAACCAAACTTGGTGTTTGTAGAGTTCTTTGCTTTCTAGATGCTCACCTCCTTAGCCTCTAGTGAGGCAGGCAAGGAGAAGGCTGAGTTAGTATGCACATTTGAATAGACAGTATGTCTCCATCCATTGCTTTCTGTGGAAACACGGCTTCTGGCCTTCTGGGCCCCTGGTTGGGGGGGGGGGGCAGTAATTCCTAATGGGAGAAGAGAGCTGTAAGAGAGGGTTGTTAGTAGGTAGAGGCAAGCCATCACAGCTTGGCAAGAAGTAAGAATCCTGGGCCAGTTTAAAGGTGTTTGAGGCCTTTGGTTATAGAGTTACAGGAGACCTTTCCTTTTTACATCATCTTGTAATAATCTTTAACTTTTGCATTGTCTTTGAAACTTTGAACAAGTGCTAGAATAGGCCTTGCTTTTATAATCAGGATAAATGTCCCCTTGTGTAGATTCATATGTAAAAGGGTTGGAAGAGAGATTGGAAAACATGAATGATATGAAATTGTAGGTGATGGTTTTTCTTGATTTGATTTGACAGTGGTTATACATAAAGCGAACCATTCCATCTTGTGCTCCTTGTGAAATTTTGCAAAATTTTCTGTTGGGAAACAGCTAAGCCTTTTGAAATGTAACTGTCCTGGGAAGTATGCTTCAGGAATGCTTGGGGGGGGGGGTGTCGAGTGGCCCTCCCCTTTTTAAACTGGCCTAAAAAGAATGCTGTTTGGGACTTGACCTAAGAGGAGAGGTGTACCTTTAGGGACACAAAGTGGGAGAGAATTTGCAGAGTACCAGAGTGATGGGTGAGGCCATGCTGAGGAAGGAGGGAGGGCAACCCATTACTGATGGCATGGGGAGTAGCCCCCCCCCCAAGTTGCTGCCCCGTAAATCAGGGCCACGCTTGCACATATTGTAAAAGTAAATGAGTGTCTAGTCCATGCAAAGGGCGGTGCTAGGCCTGCAGGCTATTGTCTTTTGGCAACATTTCCATTGTCCTTATCAAAATGATAATGGTGACACTGTAGTGAATATTTCATAAGTGTTTTCCAGTTAGAGGATGCGTCCTTTTCTCTGAGATTGTACTCTTCCAAATTGGGGGTACAATCTCTTTTATGAATTGATGG